TAAAGTTAGTGGTAATGTAAATTGTATGATTTTTTTCATCTCTGTATCAAAAGTGTTTGACATTTTATTCATAAATATGTGTCATTTAGATGGTAATGGGTTATATGGGAACAAAAATACATAACACTGAAAGTGAAGCAAAAATTTTCTTTCATTATTTACTTTGATTATTAAAGAACATTACCATAAAGGGGAACAAAAAGAAATTAAAGATCATACATGAAATAGAAATAATTTAAGTGGTCTGAAAACAATTAAATGGTTTGACTTGGGTTTTTCATAAAATTTAGTTCACAACAAAATAAGTTGAGATATGTTGATATTTTTTAGTTTCCTTTCAATTTACATAAAATCCACTCATTAATTCAGTGATTTTTCTGATAACATTCACTACAGACTACATTTTACAATGAGCTATAGGAATGGTCCCTAAAACTGCTTGCAAGCCCCTAAAAATGCATGTTTTGGGGGCCCAGCTGGTGCCCTAGAAAAAAAGTTAAGCATGAGCCCCAATATTTTTACTGGCTTCTACAATTTCTCATCCATTAAACTGTTCTTTTCACACATGAACCTGATCTATTCTGACATTAAATTTACCATATAAAAGTAAGAAAAACATACACTCCCATTATTGAATGTGTTTGTTAAGACAGGATGAAAAGTTCTACACCTTCAGTTATCATAATAATACTCGTATCAGTTTGTAAGTATTTGGAATTAACCCAATTATGAACTCCAAATGGTTTTGCTCTGGAATCTGTTGACAAAGTCTCCCCTACACTAAATAAAAAATCCAAAGTAGAGTCTGAGCATAAGTCAGGTATAAATGAATGCCCTATTTAATGAATAATTCATGTCATTCCAAAGTTATCAAATTCAATCAAAACGTCTTTGGAAAGCTGTTGAAAAATCCCAAAGTAATTTATCTCTACAATTTGTGTTCTTTCCTGGCAGAAATTTAAGGCAAGTTCCATATATCAACTAAACTGTGAAAAAAGTTTTACATTGGTGAAACCTATGAACAACCTCCTATCTCAGTTAAAGAACATAACAAATTCCCCTTCAATGTTCACGAACACATGTCAAAGAATGGCCATTTATTCAAAATTGATAATGTAAAAATTTTCAATAATGAAAAAAATATAAGCTGTCAGAATATAAGGAAGCTTTATAATTATTAGGTCATCATGAAATTAATGTTTGGTTTTGGAACAATTTCATGCCCCTCCCCCAAAATCTTACATCACCTATAATAGTTAAATGAACCACCCAAACGTCACGTTAGTGTAGCCTATATAATGTGTAAAGTTTAGTATACTCTAATTCCTTATAGTGATGGCACATGACGAGACACTTATTCAGCATGTAATGATGTTTGAATACAAAAAGGGAAACAATGCCTCTGTTGCCACAAAGAATATCAAAGAAGTTTATGGAAATGTTTTGAATGTTTGTAAGTGTTAAAGATGGTTCAGCAAGTTTTGTTCAGGTGACTTTAGCCTTAAAAACTGTCATGGTAGAGGCCAACGTGTTGGAATTTATACTGATGCTCTGAAGATGCTTGTTGAGTCTAACCCAAGGCAACACACTAATGAAATGTCACTGAAATTGCATGTCTCTCATGAAACAATAAGTAAACATTTAAGAAATATTGGAAAACTCCATAAAGAAGGTGCTTGGGTGCCTAATGAACACTCTGATGATCATCATTTCTAGCATGTGAATGTTGCTTCGTCTCCTTTAGCGCATAATGCGCGTGAACCATTTTTGGACAGAATTGTCATCACTGATGAAAAATGGATTCTATATGTGAATATTAAATGCCAAAAACAATGGCTCAGTCCTAGACAAAAACCACTTCTGACCCCAAAACCTGAACTCTATCCACAGAAAGTGATACTTTGCATTTGGTGGGACATCATAGAAGTAATTCATTTCGAACTCCTCAATCCACAGCAAACTGTCAATGCAAAGATCTATAGTCAGCAATGCACGTCCACATGTGGCACGTTTGATGCAACACAAGATTATGGAGTTGGGTTGGGAAGTTCTCCCCCACCCACCATATTCTTCAGATATGGCACCATCAGATTACTATCTTTTTCCTTCACTGCAACACAATCTTAATGGAAAAACGTATGCAAATGTGGAAGGTGTTAAAGAGGACATCAACATGTTTTTTGCTTCAAAGCCAAGTGTTTTCTTTAATCAGGGCATTAACAACCTGACTGTATGATGGAAAAGCATCATCAATAAGAATAGAGACTATTTCATTTAATAAATGTTTTGTTCTGTTACATAAGTTGTTCGGGTTTTTTCATCTAAAAAAAAGTGATATTAAGTTCTTGAGGACTTAATAAATAGTTTGAACCTAAAATAAATAAGTATTCCTGCAAACAGTTTTATCTTTTGTGACCTCTGTTCAAACTTCTGATTATCAAATTGATTGTTATGTAAATAAAAATCGTTATGGTGTGAATGTTTTTTTTAGTACTAAGCCTACTATATTTTTTTAACACTACATTTCTGGTCCATTAGGAATTTTTAAGAATTAGAAGAGTGTATAATAACAATATTTCTTATAACAAGTAAAATTATATATATTTTTACACTCAAAATATTTTGGTCTAACAGAAGTGAACCTAATATCATTAGAATTATGCATTCCATGCATATGTTAGAAGATATGTGAAATCGTCTTGGTGTAGATTTTCTTATTGATATATAAGAATATTAAAATTCTTGAACCTACCATTGAATCAACTAATGTTGACTTTTAATTGAGGTCATGCACAAGTACCAATTAAATTCATAACACCAATCAAATACAAGTATACATATTCTAGATCTAATTCATATGTTATAGTTTGTACTGATGTTAGATATCTCTTCAAACTCTACTGATTCCTTTTAGACAGGATATATGTTTGTTTTTCTACACATTTTGTTTGAATTTTTTGTCTATTAAATTATTTAATTGCTCATCATTATCAACTAAAAATAGCCATCTAACCACTGTTAAGTTCAACCAATCAAATACCAATGTCTCCATCCACTAGTTTTTTGTGTTTCCAAGATAAGAACTCACTTGTAGTTGATGTACTTGATGATGCCAGGAATAATCTTGGGAAATGATTTAACACAAAACTAATACTCTGTTTATCCAATAACACACACATTTTTCAGCTATACTGACAGAGTAATTCCTTTAATTATTTTGTAAACTTTCTTGAAGCTCACTGTCAAATCAGAATTTTTTAATGTATCTTGTACTAGCAGACATATAGTAGGTAAATGTATAATTTTATACTATCCAATATTCCTATCCTTGGTTTGGCAACATAATTTTCAAGATTTTTATTAAAACCTTTTACTCCTTAGTATGTTGTCTTTTTCTTTTTTCTGTAAAGTTCAACTATTGTAATACCTTGAGAAAAAAGTACTTTTCTGTTATTGAAATATATTTTATAGCCTCAGCAGTTGCAAATAACAAGTTTGATTGAATTGATGAAATTTAGTTGAATGGACAGTAATTGTCTGTTGTAGAAACACAATTGTAGGAGACGATGTTTTGAAAGTCTTCTTTGTTTCATCTTCATGTCAGTGTCTGTACGGTGTTGTTGGTCTTTATCCACTTCACCATGGAAACAGAGGAAAAAACAACCTATTTCTTGACATACTCATTAGCAGAAAAGAGAGAAAAATCACCACAAATGTATATAGAAAACTCACCCACACAAATGGCTACCTACGCTTCCAGTCATATCATCCAACCTTGATAAAACATGATATAATCCAATGCCTAAACAAGAGAGGAGAAAACATTTGGGACAAGACATCCATTGAAACAGAATGCCAAAAGATTGTAGAGTGCTTTAAACACCTCCTCCTTCATCAAAAACTCCCTGAAGAAGACCACAACAAAAAGAAAAGATAAAGAAAGTGCTACCACTACTACCATTTACCTCCCCTACCTGCAAATTTTCAGTGAAAAACTCAAACATATAGCCAAGAAATACAAAACAGACATCTAGTGGAAATCATACAAGACATTAAGATCCATTCTGGTGAAAAACAAAAAGACTCACCACAAGAATAAAAGAACATAAAAACAGTACAAGACTCATGAAAACACAAAATTCAGCCATTGCAGAACACACCATGTCAACTGGACACAAAATAAACCAAGAAAAAACTAGAATTGTCGACACAGACAAATTTTCTAAGACAAGAAAAATTAAAGAATCCTTTTACTTAACACAATAAAACCTTCACTAAACAGAGATTCTGGATTATAGGTGAGTAATCTGTGACTACCATTGGTTGAATCTACAGGAAGTTTCTCTACCAATCAGATAAACTAACCAATCATAACACACACTCCACAATCCACCAGAGTACTATAAAGACTGACAACACCATACACATACTGACCTGAAGACAAATGGTGGAAGACTTTTGAAATGTCTTCTTCTACACTTATGTTTCTACAATAGACAGTTGCTGTCTATTCAACTAAATGTCATCACGAATACTCTGCCTAAACTATCTATCAAAGAATTTGATGAAATTATTTTTCATTCTAAACCAGGAGTAACTGTATATGTTAAAACATGAGGTTATTAAACAATTACTGCAAGTTCCTGGACTTTCTTTACCCCAACTAATATCAGCTTATGTTTATATTAAATTGAATCCCTTTTACAAGGGTGTTTAAAGTAACTGGCAAGAAGAAACGAATTTTATGAGTTCAATGGACCAAAGTAAGAGAACTTTACAGGTACAATTATTCTATATACTGTGTTTAAAAATAAGACATCTGTGTAATTAACAGTAAATTTTCGTTTTATGATTTACTTAGTTTTTTGATACAAAGAGTTGTTTTTGGTTATAAGCTTTAGCAAACTTCAGTTATAGTAAAAAAAAAAAAAAAAATCAATCAGTGAAGCTTTATCATGTTCAGAATATAACAAAACTATGTTTGGTGGACACATATTTACCTGCAAATACATCAATATCTTCCAGAATTTTTCCTGTTCTTATTGCTCCTTTGAAGTTCAAATACTTCTCTCGTTCCATGGCACTGTTACCCAGGGGAATGATACATTCATCATAGCTGTCTTTCATCTTTCGAGGAGAAAGTTCAGCTTGACTTTGAGGTAAAGATAATGATTTGTCTCGAGAATAAATAAGAGGTTCAGTTGGTCTAAAAACAAAAGGCAGAAACAATGCATAATGCTCATCGTGTATAAAATATAAAACTACATTTTTTTATTTGTATATGTAAAAATTTATGGTTTAATTTAAATGTTTTGCAAATACCTGTATTTTAGTTAGAAATCTGATATAGGATTTAAAAACCATTTTGATGAAATGAATAAACTTACTCAGGTTTTAATACAACAGTCTGTGATGTAAAATATATCAAGTTACAGCCCTTACATTTATCCTGAAATTCAGAGAAATTTTACACAAGTTTCTAAGTGAAAACATAAAGAATTTTAGGAAGAAATTAGGTTATTTTTGTGGTTTCAACTCATGAAGACTTGCCACTTGTTTATGAAGACTTGTCACTTGTTTATGAAGACTTGCCACTTGATTATGAAGACTTGCCACTTGTTTATAACAATGAAAAATTCTGATAAGAGTTAATCTACAAAACTCAGAAGAATAAAAAGAAAATATTAGGAATCTTAGCTGATTCAAAAAGTTAACTTTGGAAAGTATGAAACAAAAGGTGCAAGCTCTGAAATTAAGAAAACAAAAAGTAGACCTCAAAATAGATAGTAAAAAGAATAAGTTCCTGAAGCCAAGGCAAAAAAAAAATTTATTATGTATATTTTACAAACTATAATATTCACAAAGAAAAGAAACTGAAAAATATTTTATTCTATAATAGTAGGTAATTTAAAAAAATGAGAATAATGTTAACTTGGTCGAGATCCTTGGCCTAGTTCTAGATAGTTAACATTTTTCTTAAATCGAAAATGTATTTCCAATAATACTAACCTCCTCTCACACTACAGCTATTACTCGACTCCAAGGGTTTCTTCCTTTGCCCACCTAAACATTGGTCTGATTTTTTTCTTGCTGGCAATATTTGTCTTGTGACACTCTCCACCTACGTTAATGCGCCTTCTAACCTGGTACTGTATATAAGCACATCATTCAAATTAGGTTATCACTTTTTCGAGATTGACTCAATCTGCAGTCTCTAACACCAGCTCTTAGTGGGGAGGAATGGCAGGAAAATGTCAGTGGAGGTAAGTATTATTGGAAATACATTTTCAATTTAAGAAAATGTTAACTTCCAAAATATACTTACCTCTTCTCACACCACAGCTAGAATCCCACATTGAGAAGGTGGAGGGTCTGGTGAGGGCATTATCCATACAGTAAGCATCTGCATAGATTATGGGTGTGCCAATAGAAGGTTGGCACCTTAGTAGGGAAACCATACTACATCCAGAACAGGTATACTCTTCACTCGAAACTTAATTCATGTACTGTGGGTGGAACTTTACAGGATTTATGATCACTACAGGCTCCAACCAGACAGCTGAGGTTCCACTGCTCGAGGTTGGAATTATAAGACCATAAGACCACCTAGAGGCTGACTGAGTGGTATTACTGTACAATGCTGGACTGCCACTCATGGACTCAGATTGAGGAATGAGTCACTTGTGAACCTTGGAGACTCAAGGCATTGCTATAAACAAGAAAGATCGATGACTGGACACTAATTTCCTGTCTTCTTAGGCCCAACAACCGATGGGAATAAAACCCCAGAATAATTAGCACAACTCTCTCTCTCTCTATCCCCAGACCAACCAAACTCTGATAGCCATAGAACTAAATTCCAAAATTTAAAGATTGGCAAAAGATGGAAACCCTACAGATTGGGTGGATAATGGTGGTGAAGATGTGAACTGAATGACTAATCCTGACTCAAGGACTTTTAGTGACCATGCATCTGTGGTTAAAGTTACCAAACATCCAGAAATTCTCAGAGCCTAGCCTCCACAAACTCCAAAGGCATACAATAATCACTAATGCTGCTAACAGCATTCTGCCTGAGCAGCAGAATCCTTGGATATGGACAGAATCTATTCTGGATACCAATGTACCGAGGGGCTGATGTTGGGGGACGGGACCCTCAAACAGGGGTGGAACCATGACCCCCCTTTAGGAGCCAATCAAAGTTGAGATGCCAACGACAACAGGGATGAATGTAGAAGCCAACAACTGAACCAATGTCCACACTAATAATGTTTCCAGCTTATCATCAATGAAGGTGGTGATCCTGAGAGTCTTCCAACAAAATTGAATGTGAGGAAAACAACAATTTGGATGTTAGAGTTGTAAGTCCATAGACTTACCACTATCCCACCAGGACATATTGATCTATGCAAGTTAACTACAAACTCTGCCTTTGAACCTGTAATTTTGAAGAACAGATGTATTATTTGAGAGTCAGAATATGCTTCCACCTGGCAGTGATAGGCTAACTCATGTAGATCTGACAACTGTGGTGGATAAGGCATAGTTGTACAATCCCATAACTGAGCATTAAACCTCCCTGCATAAACCACAATGTCCGTGGATGGAAGGAAAATATTAGCTTCCAGACCTTACAGCCATCAAGTAAGGTGCAGCTCAAAAACAATTGGGGAAAAACTCAAAACATAACACTCTTGATGGACCAACTGAAGAAAACAAATCAGAGGCAGCTCATCCCAAACTGGTCTCCTTTTCTATTTCTTTTAAAGACTGTTCTGATTACCATTTTTTGGAACAATATTTTGTCAGGCTAGTTCATAGTGTTAGAACAAAGCAACGTTGGGCTACTTGCCTTGTCCATTATAGGGAATCGAACCCCAAACTTAAGTGTTGTAAGTCCATAAACTTACCACTGTCCCACAGGGGGACTGAAAAGCCAATTGAACAAAAGAAGGCACAAAAAAAAAGAAGCAAATTCTCTACAGAATGTCCAGGATTGCCCTCAATTGCAGCCTCAGAGCCCCTTGGAGGAACACCATCGAACTGAATATACATCTCCATTTCACTACAAATAAGGTCACTGACAGTCTCACCTGAGAGTGACCCCCCAAACTGTTGTGTGATGCTGTATATCAGAAGTGGGATAGGAAAGACCTGAGTTGCTTCTGTGCCGGAAATAATAATTTGGGAATTCATACTGTATATCAGCTTGCCAATTGAAAAAAAAAAATTATTTTTTGAAATAAAATGAACTAGGTAACACAGTGAATGTTCAAAGTTCCTCTGAACAATTGTAGCAATGATAAACCTGTTAGTGATGCTTTGGTGAGAAAAAGTGATAATGAGGTGCTTATATACAGTACCAGGATAGAGAGTGCATTGACGTAGGTGGAGAGTTTCACAAGACAAATATCACCAAGGGCAGTTAAGTGTGGTATAAAAGATTGGAGCAACCAAGAAGAAAATCCAACCAATCCTTAGATGGGCAAAGGAAGAAATCCTGGGAGTTGAGTAACAGCTATAGTGTGAGAGGAGGTAAATATATTTTGGAAAGAGTGTCTGAAATTGTCAGGTTTTGAAATAAGTAGTGATTGAACAAGAAATTACCTGTACAATTTTGTGGGTGAAAGCAGTGTTCAAAATAAAACGCTAAAATTATATAATTTAGATTAGCATGTGAATACATAACATGTAATAAAAATATAGAATACATGATAGTGTATGTGTGAGTATATATATATATATATATGTATGTATGTGTGTGTGTCTGTGTGTGTTTGCATGCTTGTGCATATGTATAGTAAACATCACTGTTTAACTCTTTCAACCTGGGCTCAGTCCTTGGGACCGACATCATAACCATTTTGTGCTTGTTATAGTTTTCATGCTATAACTTTTAAATTAGTAAGCAAACGTTACCGAGATTTGGCAGTTTATCAATAAACATTACAATACTTTCATATGCAAAATATCTATTTTTTATTTAGTCTTAAGGTTTGTATAGCAATGTTTCTCTCATGCCTTTTATTCTTTTCACATCTTGCCCATCTATCATGCAAAGAAATTTTCATCTTAACGTTAAAAATACTTGTATGCATCAGAAAATTTTTAGAAATTTCACACGTGAAATTTTTATAATGTCCAAATAGTTATCAAACATTTCTCAAGAAAAATCTTTATATTTTATCTGTCATTTTCAGTAATTAATCTCTGTACGGGTTCGGTAAATTTGACCAATCTCGCAACCACCATAAAAAATTATGAAATAAACATAAATTATGTATCTTTCATTCCAGAATGAACAAAAATTATAACACGAACACATAAATGTTCAGATGAAATAACTTAAATCTCATAACATTATACATTTATATATATATATTTATTATTTTTATTATATTGACCTTTCACCCATGCCTGGTTAACAATATGGGTCATGTGCACTCATGTTACCATATCAAATAACATAAAGGTGACCTTTGGTCTGTACAAAATAACTTGTCTTGGCTGTGTTTTAGTCAACTAGTATTTTGTAAAATACAGTCACATTTCAATTATTATACATTATATATGTCTATAGATTATTGCTATTTTGAAATATGTTCTTAAAGTTATTTTTCCTAAAACATAGAACAGTAAATAATGAAGTAAAGCAAACCATTATCTCTACTAGTTACAATCTTTGTATTCGGTTACTGCTTGATGTAGGTTGCTAAGCCTTTAAAAAATTTTCACATGGAAGACATGACACAAAATATTTTTTTAGGTTTATATATACATTTGAATAACTAAAAAAATCACACATTACTACATCAATGCCATAGAATTCAACTATAATTTAACAAACGTAGTAACTAAGCTTTATTTGGGTCTAAAAAAAATGAAATTTCGAGCAGACTAAAGACATAACCTACCTCATTGAAATCTTGATTTAAAAGAAAGAAATGATGCTAGGTACGTTAGAAAGGCTTAGGAAACCACTAGAGGGACATTCTGAGCTTCCAATTGGTTATTCATGTCATATATAGAAGTAAGTGTTTATAAGGGAGCATTTTCAAAAATGGAAGGAGGTGAGTGGGGTGCCACTATGTTTGACTTATTACGTGAGCAAATTGAAAAGATAAGACCTTCTTATTTTATATTCTAGCTTGTCAATATCTGTAATTTGAGTTTCTAATTTGTATGAAACTACAAACTTAGTATTTTGACTTCATAAACATCTAATTTGAACCAGTGATGCATTTAACATACCACGTGACACAAAAATCGATGTTTGTATGTGTTTTTTAATATTTACTTTTAAATTAACAAATTGAGTAATGTATAGTTCTACAATTTGAATTATAATCTACAGTTGGATACCAAACTTACTGACATAAATTCATGAAATATTAGTTCAATAAAATTAACACCAATAAAATCCCAAAGGTTTCTGATGAGTTCACAGTTATTGTATTGAATAATCTTAGAGTACATGGATGTCAATAAAATGAACAGTAAATGTTCAGAAGACTTTTGGTAAGAAAAATAAGACAACTGCATGAACATAGGATAATATACGTGTGTTCAGAACATTCCACATTGTTCTCATATTTCTTCTGGAGCTTCCTTAAGATTTATTTATTATATTATATTTACATATTTCACAATCCTACACAAAATTCTACATACCTGTAAAACTTTTGAGCCCCAAGCTGATCACCCAATTTTTCTTTTACTGCAACAAAATAAACAATTACATTTAATTAATATCTTAATTTTTAACTCAAATAAGTGCAGTTGTATTTATCTAAAAAATCTCTAAAACAAGAAAGATTAAACTAATTCACTTATATTACACAATTTGGATATATTACAGAACAGTGTAATTTTTAACTAAATGAAATTCAAAGTGGGCAAAAAAGGAGATACAGTTTATAAAGTAAATGGAAGTCACCAATCCAAGAAAATAATTACAAATTGAATGCTTCATTTCAATGTGTTAATGTAAATTTTTTAGTAATAATTAGAAAATATAGTGTTCTTCTTCAGAAACTAACAACCAGTTTCACAGCTGATACCAACACAAACTAAATGACCTTCCTTCGTAAAGCATCTGAAGAGAAAGCCTAAGGAGTGTGACACCCAATTGCAGGGGTGCCATGGAGGGGCACCTATGGGAGACAAGAAGGAAAGGAAAAAGAGCACCAAGTATCACAGAGATTAGCAGAATTATATCATGGCCAACCAAGCACCTGCAAACGTGGTCAGCAAGCCAAGAAGTGTAGTTTGGCTAGGGTGTAATCAAACAGTATGATGTATGTCATGCCTCAACTGGACAGACTATTGCTGCAGGAGGGTACATTAGTTGTTTGAGGGATAACCTGCACTACACAGACAGTGTCACCACCATCCTACTTCCATCCAGTGATGTGCACAATCAGTGAGGAACTCTCCAAAGTCCACCACACCAGTGGTTAGGAAATGGTAAGTAGTAAGGCTCTCCCATGCTCCACTTGCAAAAGGAAGGAGAAGTTGCAGTGGGGAGAACTGGAGAAGTTCCAAGATCCCCATCAAACACCTGCCAGAAAGGTCTTTTACTGGAGACAGTGCAATGGGATGGGGGTGCATATCTCAATGATTGTGAATTCCAGGCAGAAAATGAGGTTACCCTCCAAATTAATCTTCTTGCTGTTCAAAGGGCAATGTCTCAAGGTCTGGAATTATAGAGAGGCAAAGTCGTCATGCTTCTCTCCAACAATTCTACAGTGGTGTCTTACATTTCCCATCAAGGGAGCACTCAGTCCAGGTTTCACTGTTTTCGAACCTTGGAGATTTTACATTGGGCCCACTCCCATCATATCATCCTACTAGCTTGCCATGTTCTGGGGGTGATGGATTTGGTGGCAGATTAATTGTCATTACCAAACCAGGTTCTCCTGTTGGATTTACTCTCAGTTCAGGACACCAATGATCTATGCATTTGTTACTCTTTAGAACACTGAACTAATGACATTTTTGTCTCTGGTAACTCACCCTTGGGCATTGGAAACAGATGCGTTCCGTCAGGACTGGGCTGGACTGCACCTATATGCCTACAAACCATTTAGTTAGTTACCCACAGCCCTAGCAATGATTCATTCAACCCCTTGTTGCATTCTGTTGGTAGCACCAGAGTGACTGCCTCAATCCTGGTTTCCATTTCTGCAGTACCTTCAGGAGTTCCCACCTTTTTCACTGACATCTCACTCCAATCCCTCCTGGATCTCAAACTTCATGTGTGGAGGTTATGCAGTCCTTCACACAGCATAGGAGTTTAATTTCTAAGGTTGCCATGTCTCAATCTAAGCGACATCCCACAATGGACATTCATCAATGGAAACAGCACACATACTGACAATGGATCCATATTGCTTATTCTGAGCTTCTGTGAATCACATTTCATCAGATTTGTCACATTTCTATACCCTTAGTGGTCTGGTTGAATTGCCTGCTGGAGGACATTGTGTGGACTAGTTTTTGAACCTCCACCAATACTTTTATTTCACATTATTTACACGATCTGGCAGTATCTTCCTCTGAGGGTTTTCAACTACCCCCTGTAACTATATTAACCATATCCATTATATTATACAGAGGGGTGAGTATTTTCATTACTAATCTTGTTTCTTCTTCTTTCCTTTTCAGGGTCCTTTACCACTTTTTCATGGAATCCCACTCTGTGGCGAGTGTTGCCTAGTCAAGTGTGCTTTTATCAAACCAACTCCACACTAGCAACCACTAACACAATATACTCCAGGTACTGTAGAAATGAGGTGTTCCATAAGACCACCTAGAAGCAAACCAGGTGGTATTACTGTACCATGCTGGACCACCACTTGTGGACTATCATGAGTAAAACATAATATTCTGTATGAAGTCTCATGAATGATACACAGAAACAACTAATCACCTCTTTTGACAGTATGTCTATAAGTACATCTAAATGTTTTTAGCTTTACTATTAATTACATAGCAATGTCTAGATGGCTTGAGTGACTTATCTACCACTATGCCAAGATCCTTTCTCCAGTCATGCTACTGAGTTGGTTCTCCATAAATACATTACTGTCCAAGTGATCCAAGTTATGATAAACCCAATGCATCACACTGCATTTCATACTGAGAATACATTTGTATAATTCAGCCAACAAGTTTTTCAGCAAATACAAGGAATACCATCAACCTACGTGTTGCTGATATATAGATACAAATGTAAATAATAAATATTAGTACAAAAGAGTGAAAGAAAGTTTTACACATTAGTTGTACTTTTACTCAATTATCAAGGTGTTTTTGACATTGCTAAGTCCATTAAACCACAAATAAGTGAAAAAGCCCAGTACCTGGACTTACACATAATGATTAGCAATCAAATGTTAAAGTTTAAAAGTTTGAAACAAGAACAGACACTTTTAATTTTGAAATTATGAATTTTTGGTTTCCAAATAGAAATATTCCAAAAAAGTTATGTTGTGCTGTTTACTGCTCACAACTAACTATGTATACATACGGTAGATTTTGTTCAACATTAAAAGACTTAATGGATAAAGCTCATAAACTCGCTCTCATTTCTCACAAACAAGGTTTCTAATACTACATTTAAAATGCCAGATTTTTTTCAGTTTTGGACTAAAATCAAGTCTTCTTGCTACAAATTACGACATTAATAATGTTACATAATATTACAACCTATTCAAAACCGTCACATTTACATCATAATTTCCTAACTAATTTTTAAGGTAAAAACAAACAACTTTAACATGGTGACAACTTATCACTAAAGTTAATGAGAAATACATAACAGTTCCTTGTATAATATAGCGTTACATTATCTTCTTAGTTTTTGTGTTTTGCAAGTAAGTTCTTTTTTCCTTTAATATTAGATTCATTAACATTATTGGTTAAACTGTTTAATACATACAAAATAAATCAATTATTATTGACTTTTTATGAGAATTATTTTGAATTGCTACTTAATTATATAGTTTTGGAACTAATGTAAACCTCCTAAACTGGCTAAACAATATGAGACAAAATTGTGATTATGGCTAGAAATAATACTAACAGTGAGGGTAATCAATTGATGAGTCAATTAATTCTAACCATTACAAGTCTTTGTCTTATTATATTCTATATTCCTAGTTACATCACTGTATTAACTTAACTACATTAAGTATTGAGTTAATTTTTTTACTCATGATCTTTGTACTGTAGGTAACTTGCTTTTATCAAAAGTTTATAATTAAACATCATTTGCCAACTATTTGTCCAACTTGTCCATAGATCCAAGTCATTCTATATTACCTTAACATGCACAAAATTTAATATCATGATCAGCAAACTTTACTATTTACTAAATATGACACTTTCAATAATTCTCATGGAAATAAGAAAAAGCTGAGGCCCAAACACTGACCACTGCAACATACCACTGGTAACAAATGCCCAATCTGACTGGTCTCCATTAACATTTGATTATGTTAAAAATAGTGTAAAACAATGTCAGACTCTTACCTTCTTGTATTGTTAATTTATTTTTTGTTGATTGAAAACTTCCTATAAACCTCACATGTTTGGTATGGTTCATAGCCCATCTTGGAACTTTTGATTTTTGAAGACTTGAAGAGCAGAGCTGTCTTAACCTGAACAGATTAAAGCTGTATGAATGCAATAGTGACCACACAAAGTACTGAAAATGTATCTTCAAGACAACTTGGGTAAAAAATAATGATGAATAAACTTATACATATCAATTTATCCTTTATTATTATTATCTTTTATCCAAGTTTTTTTCTCACATTTTCAGAACAACATTCATTCAAGTAACTTTAAGACAACTTACTGTAACGTGTTTAATTTATTTGTTGTAGATTTTACAAGCCAATTTCTATTATCTCTTTCAAGAAAAGTAGGTCAACACATGTATATTCTAGAATGTGTATTTAATTGAATAATTTTACCATCTGAATTTTAAAACTTCAAACTAAGCTGTATATCAACTATAAAGCTAGGTGATTAACTCATGATTACATTGACGATGATTACATAAAATAATTGATCATTGAAACTGATTAAATCAGTTACTGTCACAGTAATATTCAACTAATCAAAATTAATATTTTTGATTATTATTATTTTCAATCAATCGAACTGTGCAAATAATCAAAATATTGATATTATGATTTCTCATTATTACTTTTGACTAATTCAAGGTTGTTCAGCTTAATCGGCTATAGTCACAACTCCTAGAAATTAATAACTAATCAAAATTAGCATCAGTTGTTTGTAATCAATTAATAAACCTGATGGTTAATCAATTATCACATTCCACTAATCATCCAGCTCTAATCAGATACAACACATGCTAACCCACAAGTATGCCGAATTACATTAATCAAAATTACATGTATTGTAACATGAAGTATTATAAACAGTATGATTACCTCTACATGTACAGTAGTATAGAACAGTGTTTCTCAACCACCAGTCTATGGACTGGTGCTGGTCTGTTGGATTTCACAAAAACAGAAAGACTGACAGAATATTCATTTGTAAATTGTAATGTTTTTTCATTGTACTTGTATTTGGCTTTGAGAAAAATGTTTGAGAAAAATCTAAAAAATATCATATAGAGATCATGTGAGAAATGAAGAAGTTTTGCGAAGGGCAGGCCAAAGGGACCTGCAAAAATATGTTAATAAGAGAAGGCTTAGATTCGCAGGACATGTACTGAGAATGCCAGTATCAAGACCAGCAAAGAAAT